GGGCTTCTGGAAGGTATATTGTAGCCAGATTGTGGACACTCTATGGTACCATACTTATGAAATCTTTAGGGGAAGAAACTTTGATGTAGGCTCTAGCCTTGGAACAAGTTATGTGATCTCTCCCTCCCAGAAATGTGCTGGTTGTTAAAGGCACACATCAATATCTCCTCTGAACAGTTGTTTATCATGATAAAGTCTCTTATGATTTTTGTCTTTTAGTGACTTCTAAATAAACTACAGATATTACCATTCCTCAGGGCTTCTGGGAACCAGTAGCAATTAGGGAATAGAAATGGCTAAAGGATTTAAAATTTAAAACATTCATTATCAAGTTATAAGTGTAAAAATGGAGAGATCCCAAGAGTGGCTGGGCAGGATGAAGCGTGTGATTGAGCATGGTTCTAGGAGGTCAATACAGAGGCCGGGAAAGTAGACTAGGCAAAGATGAGGTCCAAAACTAAGAAAGTGGCACGGGATGGACACAACAATGACTATTTAGGTCATTTAGGTTGCCACTATTTAGGTGGCAAAAAGGGATTTCCAACGAGCTGTTTGTAGGAGGTGGGGGTAAAGTTTTTTTTTTTAATAGAGATTTTACTACCCTGGGTTTGACATATAGGAAGAGAGAGTTAAGAAGGAACTTACAGAGTTGGAAGTGGGATGGAGAAAAAAGAAGAGGAGGAGAGATGCCGAGGGAGCAGGACCTCTTACTGCCGAAAAGGAGACTGCTTCACTGTTCTGTGAGTGTGGCAGACAGGCTTGAGAGGGGCTCCACAGCCTGAATTACAGGGGCAGTGAGGGCCTATGCTTGTGACTCTCCCATAGAAGTTCTGTGTCACTGAAGGACTTCTTCCGTAACTTATGTGCCATTCTCCTTCTGAGGCACGCTTCCTAAGTAATGGTCCTAGAGATAATGCCCAGGCTCTCACTAAGGTCAAGTGTGTTAGTGCCAAGACACCGACTTGACCTTCTCCACCAAAGCTTCCACAGAGCCTGCTCTAAGTGCTCAGATTTGATTGAATCGTTTTCAAGGAGAGCTGTTTCCAGCCCGTAGTTTAGTGTATCTTTGAGGCTAGTACTGCAACGAGTACCCAGGGCTGGCACGTGGTTTCCTACAGGTAGGAAGACATGACGACAATGAGAAGATCCAATCCCCTGCTCCGGCTTTTGGGTGTGAAGGTAACAGTACCATAATAAAGACTTGGGCAATTGCAGTCTTGTTTCTTCACAGAGGGAACCAGGACACTTAACTGGGATGACTTCTAGGCTGATTGTGTAAAATGACTTCTTGTTATTTGACCTCCTTTTTGTGTTGTTGGTGGGAGCTGGATAGGTTTACAAACTCCCTAAAAGAAATTTCCTGGACCTTTTACTACATAGTCACATTACAGACTAATACTTAGCTATTCCTGGCAGGTGTAGTGATCACTTTAATCTCAGGACTTGTGAGGCAGAGGCAGGCATATCTCTGTGAGTTCAAAGCCAGTTTGGTCTATGTAGTGAGTTCCAGGACAGCCATTCGTGCATGCTCTGTTTACACACATATTCACCTGAGATCAGCATGATGTAATCTGTACTAGGAACCCACCTTTATAGTTATTTTTCCATGTCTACGTATGTACCTTTATTAGCTTGCTGCTCTATAAATATGGAAAATTTAAATTTAAATCAAATACCCAAACATTTTTCCATCTTTCCTTCTGTGAACATAGAATTGATATAGCTTATAAGACTTAGAGAGTCACTACCACACAACAAAGTAGAAACATGGTATTTCTCTACTTAGAAGTGAGGCAGTAACTTCCTACAGAATCCGAGGCAGTTCCCCCTTTCCTTATTTACTGGCTATTCCTGAGTAGCCAGTGCTTGGGGGGTGTTACATATAGACTGGAACAGAGCCAAGACCTTGGTATCCTCTAACACCCCATGGAGGGCTGTAAAAGGAATGAGTTATTCAGTCTATTCTTTTGTATTTATTAATTTCCGAGTCTTTATACCACTTAAGGCAGCGTGGGGGCCACCAGGGTCCTTATCCCACTTTAGAGAGCCTGGTCTCCGCTATGGCTAGCCATTGAGTGGATTCCTTGGTAACAACTTCTTCTTGATGACCTTAGCAACATACAGCATAAATGCTTGGTCACAGCTGGCAGTCTGTAAGGAACAAAGTGGCAGTCAATGAAGGCCTTTAGGTGGAACAAAGACGGGGATTATTTTCCACTGGGAGGTATGTGGGGAAAGAGTGATGGAAAGTCTTGTAGTCAGACAGGAGACAAATGAGGACAACCAAGAAGAGAGGATGTAAACTTAAGATAAACCACACGGGCTTAATGCTGATGCTCAGGTGGTCTTTGCTGACAGGACAGTGAAATTCTTATTAAGATCAAGGCAGACTCTACATGAGAAGTTGCCCAAACGATTTTTCTTCTGGGCCCTTAATTTCTTTGATGTAAAGTGGTTTTATAACTCCCCTACAAAGGTTCTTACCACATTAGTATGGAGAGCAGGGCATTGGAGACTGGGCCTGGGAATCATAACAGTATATCATGTATCTGTTCACCTGTATCTATCACTATCTGTCCGTCTGCATGTCTATCTATCTATCTATCTATCTATCTATCTATCTATCTATCTATCTATCTATCTATCTTCTATCTATCTATCTATCTATCATCTAACTATACATCCATATCTCATAAAGCTTTAAAATATTTTATTTATCCATTATTTTAATATAATTTTTCTCCACTTCCTCCCTTCCTCCCTCCCCTCTTCTACCGTCCCCCATGACCCCCATGCTACAGTTTACTCGATTAGATTATTATCACTGCCTTTGTTCTGTAGCAGGATCTCTTCACTTGCCATGGTTATCAGTACATTATACACACTCGGACATTTATTAGTTGAAGGAGTTACAGTAATCTTTCAGGTCTACAAGAAAGTAATTCTCCCTTTCAGGTTTCCCTCAGTATAGATTACCACCTGCCAAGATACTTAAGAAAAAATATTTTGATCATTTGATTTATTGAATACCCACTTAAGTCTAAACATTGTGTGAGGGTATGGGGTGGGGAAGACAGGGAGAACTTGGGCTATATCCAACGCAGGCTGGAAGTGAGAGACTTTGTTCGATGCCCTGCTTATCTTTAGATGAGCTTGTACATGGGGCTTCTGAATATGTTTGGACAACGCCTGTACCACCTAGACAAAAATATTCACCACTTACAACCATCTGCGCCGACAAAAACCCTATCGGTACTGCCCAGTGATTCCCATGAATGCTGCGGTTTGGAATTATCATTCTCTGTGCATACTTGGAAGAAATAAGATTTGTTTTGAGTACTACTGGGATTCTCCCACTCTGGTCCATCCTCTCAGCAGATGAAGTAAACGTCCAGGAATAAAGATTTCAAAGGCACAGAGAACATGTCTCTTGGATACATCTTTTGATGAGCCAGTTCCCAGCTGCGCTCCCAGAGTGTGGGTGCATCTTATATACCCAGGCCTCTATATAAAGAACGCTTTAGAAGCTTCTGACTTTTCGGCTTCATGTGAGTCATCAGGTTCCTGTTTTAGATTCATCAGGTTCGTGTATGCGTGTGTGTATGTTAGAACAACTGTGGGCAGAAAGCGTGTAGATACTTACAAAAATGGCTTTAGGATGCATGTCAGAATTTCTTTAAATAAGGAGAGTATATACGGTGTGTGTGTGTGTGTGTGTGTGTGTGTGTGTGTGTGTATGTGTGTGTGAGAGAGAGAGTAGAATAGTACAGGTGGGGCTTCAGTTACTTCAGTTACCTGTGAGGCTACACCCTTAGCCACTCAGACAGTGGTGTCAGAGAGTGTGTTAAGAGAGATGATTGTTTTCCTTGCAGACCAGCTCACAGGTCTTTGAGGAGCCCTTGACTTTCTCCTTCTTCCATGTCTTGTTATAAAGGGATTAGAGTCCAATTAAGCCATTTAATCCCAAGGTAGAAATTCATGTTTAAAAACAAGATTTACAGCTTCTTAAAAAAAAAAGACACCCATGTGAGTTGAAGTTTGTCCCTTCAAGTTGCCACATGCATGGTTCCAAAGAGCGTTTTTAGCTGTGCACCCAACACACTCCTCCTAATTACCTTGCCTCATCCCTCTCCTCCTTCATCTCTTAAAGGACCCTTCAGCCTAGACAGCCACATGCTCGCAGAAAGACTTCAACTTCTGAACTGCTGCGATTCACCTTGGCTCATCTCTTCTTAGCATCTTGGTGAGCAGGGCTAATAATAAAAATTGTATGGAGAGCAAGTGCTGTCTGGGAGCTGAACATGTGCAGACATCCTTACCCTGGGTGCTTTGTGCCCATTGCCTCATGGGGTGCCCACTGTGAGAGCATCCAAGCTGGCTCTGTGGGTGTGGGGCTTGTGTAGTCACTTGGGGACCATCGTTTGACTTAATGCGCTGCTATTGCCATCTTGAAATTCTTAACCATTTAAGCACAAGGGGCTTGCATTAAAGAAATTACAAAAAGGAAAAATGCAGAAATGGGCATTGGACCCACAAATTATATCGTTATCCTGAGATGTACCTGCTAATCCACAGGTTCCATTGTTTTTTTTTTTTCCCATGTGATACCCAGGCTATCGCAAATGTGACAGAGAGTCTCACATTATGCCAAAACCCTGTCATGAAAGTGTCTACCTACATCTCCATAGAGGAAAGTTTTATGACAAACAGGCAATCATGTTTCTCATGAAACAGAAAAATGAGAAGTATCTGGGGATTTGGACAAGTTATTTAACTCTTTGAACTCTCAGTTTCCTTATCTATAGAGTAATAATAATAATAATAATAAATATTTAACTTACAGGATGCTTAAGAATAAAATGAGATCACAAATATCTGACAAGATATATGATTTTAGCTAATAGTCTGAGTGACTGGCAAGTATTTAGCACCCAGCAGTGCTCGTGACATGGGGATGCTCTCTTACCTACCATTAAGGTCCCAGTGGATTTACTCCTTACCTGAACAGCAGAGTTGGCAGGGAAGTCTGCCTTGTCCCCAGGCTGAGTGAACGCAGAGGGGCTGCTAGAGCTGATGAGCACGGGGGTGCTGATTTCCACCATCTGGTGACCTTCAGGAGAATGGACCATGCGGTTGAGTGTGTTCAAGGCTGTTGTGATGGAGAACTGCCCAGACCCCTTCCTCCTGGACCCAGGGCTCTTTCGGAGGGTGGGTGTGTTGGTTGCTTTGCCTCTGGATGGTGAGGACATCAGGGACAGGTTCTTTGTGCGAGATAACTGATGCCCTTTGTTCTTCTCTAGGAGGTGTCTTGCTGTGAGGTTTGGCTGCAAAGATAAGAGAAGGCATAAGAGTTACTCTCTGATATAGTACAGTAGCTAAGTCTCCCACTCATTAGTAGTCAGTGCTAGCTTCTCAGCTGCTGGCTCAGATGTCCATCCTTGGGTCAGTTCCTGGATCAGATGGCCATCCTTTGGTCAGTAACTGGTCAGATGACCTTCTTTCAGTCAGTGGTTGGTCAGATGGTCACTCTTTGGTCAGCTGGGTGAAATGACTATCCTTTGGTCAGTAGATGACTGAGATGGCCATCCTTTTGTCAATATAATAACAAATTATATCTTTTATACATTTGAAGTACCAACATTTGATAACTTTGAGACATAGTAGATACCCTTTCCTTTCCTTTCCTTTCCTTTCCTTTCCTTTCCTTTCCTTTCCTTTCCTTTCCTTTCCTTTCCAGTTCTTTGTCTCTAACGTTAGTTGTTCTGATAAATTAGCTAGGTTAAAAAAAAAAACCAACCCCCCCCTCCCAAAAAAGGATGCAAAAGCCCTGGTGTGTAGTGTGTCGATAAACCAACTGTTTAACAGCTAGCTAGCATAGTTTCTGGAAATGGCGTGTCTGATCTGGCACCAGTCAGCCCAGTGCCGTGCTGCAGGGTCACTGTAGCCTTCCCCATCATCCTACTCATTACTCCTAAGGGCCCCTGTGGGCTTATAGCCTTTGGAAATAGGAAATATGTCGAAAAAACTGAGGGTCCCTATGAGTCAATGCTTCAATATCAAGGATGATTAGTGAAATTTCCATTATTACAATGCTGCCAGTTCTGCAAAGCTACAGGTCTCATTCTAATTTAGATATCCTGCTAGATAGGTTAAAAAAAATCCATCTAAGAACTTTTTAAATGACAATGTGGAGAGGATTAAAATAGCTGAGATAGAAGACTTTGAAGAAGAGGTAATTCTTCTCTTAAAAAAAAAAACTTGTCACATTGTGAAAACTCACCAAATAGGCAATTAGTGTTATTGCGTCCACATTTGTCTGGACATGCGTGCAGAGGTCAAGCTCTGCTCTTGTTCTTTAGGGGAAATTCCCCTTGTTTTTCCAGGCAGCAAATTTCACTGGCCTGGGGCTCACCAAGTACTTTACTAAGTCATTTCCCCCTCAGTGAACTTAAAAAAAAAAAAGTCCATTTCAAAAATAAGAAAGCTGAGGTCCAGAAGGAGTAAGATAAGTGACAGGGCCCTTGTGTAAACTAGTAAACAAGAAGCTGGGATGGTAACGTCTTCCAGTGTAAAAGGGACGGCGTGGGGGACAAGGCCACTTCACACGGGTGGGGGAGCATCACGGAAGAGCCTCTGAGAAGGTGGCATTTAAGCTGAGACAAGTGGCAAGGAAGAGCTGATTGTGTGGAAACAAGGATATGGACAGGCAGAGAGAAGTAGATACAGATGGACGGGAGCAGCTGAGGAGACAGGGAGGGGAGACCACAGCGCTGGCAGGCACCCGATTGCACAAGGGCTCAGAAGGCTTTGACTTATTTTCAGTGTAACAGGAAGCTCCTGGCAGGACTGGGTAGAGGAGTGACATGACCTGATTTATGCTTTTAAAAGCTCCTGTTACGGTTTGGCAGTTTCTCATAAACACATACTTAGCATCTGATCCAGCAATCCCACTTCTGGGTAATTACTCGAAGAAAGAAAAATGTATGCTCAACCCACAGCTTCATTCAGAGTTGCCAACAGTACGAACCAACCTTGATGTCATTTATTGCCAATTGACTGATGTTGATTTATACGTGTGTGTGTGTGTGTGTGTGTGTGTGTGTGTGTGTGTGTGTATGTGGCCACCACAGGCCACCCTCAGCTATTGTTCCTCAGGGGTTGCCTATCTTGGATTTTAAGGAAGATTTCTCACTGGCCTGAAGTTTGCCAATGAGGCTGGCTGGCCAGCCATCGAGCTCCAGGGATCCACCTGTCCCCACTTCCCCAGTACTAGGATGACAAGTGTATGACATCATAACTGGCTTTTTTCTTTTCTTTCTTTCTTTTTAAAACATAGGTTCTGGGATTGAACTCGGGTCCTCATGGTTGCATGGTAAGACTTTACAGACAGAACTATCTCCCCAGATGCCACCTCTGGAATATCTGTGCCTTGGGACACTGTTCACTAACAAAAAGATGAGCTATGGACAGATGGCACAACACAGATGAATCTTGTGGTGGTTTGTGAGAAAATGGCCCCCAAAGGGAGGGGCACCTGTAGGAGATGTGGCCTTGTTGGAGTAGGTGTGGTCTTGGAGGAAGTATGCCACTGTGGGGGTGGACTTTGAGGTCTCTTTTTCTCAAACTTCATTCAGTGTGACTCTCAGTCAACTTCCTGCTACTTTGTGGTCAAGATGTAGCCAGCACCATGTCTACCTGCACGCCACATACTCCCAGTCATGATGATAATGGACTGAACCTCTGAAACTGTAAGCGAGCCACTCCAATTAAATGTTTTCTTTATAAGAGTTGCTGTGGCCATGGTGTCTCTTCACAGCAATTAAAAAAAAAAAACAAACCCTAACTAAGACAAGACTCAAATGTGTTAAGCTAAATGAACACAAGCCAAACTCACAAGGCTGTGTTCTATGGGGTTCCATTTATAGAACATTCTAGAAAAAGAAAGCCATGGGGCAGAAAATAGATCACTGGTTACTAGGTTTTGAGAGTCTATGAAGGAACAGACAAGAGGGTACAGCATGAAGGATTTGGGGAGCATGTTGGAACTTTTCTATATATCGACTTTAGTGTGTATATATAATTATATGTATTTATCAAAAACAGAGATCCAGATACATTAAAAAAAAGCCAAAAGCAGGTTTTACTCCACATAAATGAAAATGTCATTCTTGATGTTACCCAGAAGTAATGATGAGTAGGGACACCAATTAGCAAGATCAATTAACCTTGTTCCGGCAGGCTCTAATGGCAGCCTGAACTAACGACAAGGCTTTGCAAGGTCCCACAGCCCATGCCGCTCCACAGTTTGCAGAGGAAGAGGACAACCAATACCCTTGAAACCGAATGAGTGATTTTCTTTACCACCACTTGTGGTTGTAGTGACACGAGTTAATTCTCTCTAATTTGCCCCCCTGTTGGGCCTTCAGGTGGGTACCACATCACCTTTTTAATTTTTTTTTTTTAAATCAGTAACACTAACAAAGGGCCTGTGAGAATCTGCCTCTGCCCTGTCCTCCACCGGCATGACAGATAGCTCAGCTGGGGAAGGACTGTGGGACTCTCAGCTTTGCACTCATTTGAAACAATATCCTTGGAGTTCACTGGACTGGATGAGACTCACGTAGCCAAGGCTGCCATGTGGAGACGTCCTGACAGGAGTGGGCAGAAGCTCAGCTTCTGTTTAGCCATCCTTTGTGCAGGTGCAGCTCAATAAATCAAATGATGCATTAACAGGAAAAGTCTTGTTTATGCATAAAACACCCATGTTATCCTTACAAGAAAGCCTCCCTTTCATTTGCTCTGCATAGCTCTGGCAATGCAAACTTATTTAAAGAGTTCTTAGCATGTGTTACTCTTAATGAAATTACTGGAGTCAAAACTTTAAGTACTGCTTTAAAAAGCTCAATTTAGATTTGAAGTAATGTTTGAAAAGTCAGTTTCCAATTAGACAAACCACTTGATTATCTTCTTCCCTCCTAGCAATTAGGAGAACAAATGAAGCCATGGCTAGTTTAATGATAATTCTGAGGGTTCTTGTAATTACTAATTTTAGAGGTAAATTGGTAGTGAGAGCATCCAAATGAATAATCATTAAATACAGAAGTTTTGAAAACAGCAGCATTCAGAGACAGGTGATGAAATTAATGCTTACCCCTTCACCTTAGAACTATGAAGAAGCATCTCAAAATAATGCAGGAGATGAGGCCAAAGTCCCCCACCTCCAATGTGTTCAGGTAGGTACCAAGTGCAGGTCCTGGGAGAGTTGACATTCTCCTAATTACCCTTATTGTTTCTCCTTAGCAAACGAGCCCCCACCCCCCACTGACCTAGGTACACAAATCAGAAAGTGGAGACGCCCTAGGCCACTTTCTCTTTCCCACATCCTCCACCTGAGCAATTCCCAAATCCTCATAAGAAATAGAATTTGAATTTTTCAATTGTTTCCAGTCTAGCAGTCAAAGTTACATCATTTTCTAATGGAATCATGCAACAGCCCCCCCCATCTCTCTCTCTCTCTCTCTCTCTCTTTCTCTCTCTCTCTCTCTCTCTCTCTCTCTCTCTCTCTCTCAACTTTATCCTTTCCACTGCATCCCAGAAACCAAAGTCTGGGGCTGGCAGCTCACATCTGCAATCGGAACTCTTGGGAGGTTGAGAAGGTTGAGGCTACCCTGTGCTGTGCATTCAGTTACATCCCAGCCTGGGATATACAATGAGACTTTGAATCAGAATAAACAAGTCAACTCAAACCAAGCAACCAAGAACCAAGCAAGCAAGCAACCAACCCACCAATCAAAAACAACAATCCAACAAAACCAACCACGTCTGATCAAATCACTGATTTCTGGGTCAAATCCAAATTTATTATAGCAAGATGGAGAGGGTCTTCACCATGCATCACATGCAGTCCCCTTTCCTCTGCTGACTTAGAGCATTGTGACTTGTCCAGCCAATGGGCATGAGTGGATGTGGGTGGAGCCTTGTGACTGGTTTATCCAAAGGGCAGTAAGCCAATGTGTGTAGTGTTAGTTACTTCAGAGGCTTTCAACTGTGAAGACACAATCCATTCTCCCCTTCTGTGGAAACTAGGAAGGACACATGCTCCAGATGTCACAGCTAAAAGACGGCCCAGGCCTATTAGTGTGGGTTCCCAGCGGGCTGTGAGTAGAACCACTCAACATCCTATTGAACATGGAGTGTGGGTAGCAAACAGCATTTTCTCTGCTGAGTCACTGAGACTTTGGAGCTGTTTGGTAGTCCGGCATCACCCAGTCTTTTCTGTTTAAATACTGCCATTTACTTCTTTGGCTTAGTGGCTTAGCTCTGGATCTAGCCGGCTCTGAGTCCTCTTGCTACTTCCATGCCCCAGTTGCTCCTTCCTCCATGCATACACACCCAACCTTAATTGCTTCTCGATTGGCTCAGAGGGCATTTGCTGACCTTCCAGATGAAGTTGCACATCACAACCTCTTGAAGGTATCCTCTGCTTCACTCTGCACCATCCATCATCCTTGTAGTCAATTACCCGCGCGCCTGACGGTGTGATCTCTGGGGTTAGGGACCCACAACTACTCCGCATCTTTAGAATTTCATGTAGGGCCTGAGAGAGCAGGTGCCAATGGACAACTAAATAAATGAGCGTGCAGGACAGGGTCAGAGTGAATGGTTTATTTTTTTTCTAACCATCTTCAAATAGGTTTTCATTTATTCAATTTAATGCCTTAAAAATTGTTGTATTGTTTGTTACCGGATCCCAAGGCCTTTCACAAACTAGGCAAGTAATTTTTCTATGGAGGGCCTGTTCTGTGTTAGCTGGTCTGTAAAGTGTAACAAACACACCTGCCACATGTTTAGAGAAGACAGAAATCAATCAATGTTCACCTGGCTTCTGAAATGCTCTGGACATTTTTTCCCCCTCCCCAACAAAGCTGCATAAATGGTGGAAATTTGAACAGATGGGAAGGTGTACCAGGCACAAGGCAGGTGGACCAGGAAGAGGCCCAGGGAGAGACAACGCACAAGGAAGGAGAATACGTTTCATTTTAGAGTCCACACCCTAAAAGCACAATTGTTCTACATCTCCCTCTACCCTTCCCTCCGCTGGTACTTGGACTGGCTGTGTGAAGAATATACCCAATCCCTGGAAGCTGGGCAATGCATAGGGCACACCCTTTGCTGTAGAACCTGTTCCGGCTTTCATGCACGGAAGAATTGGCTTCTTCTCCCCAATTATGCCTCAGCCCTATTTTCAACACCCTGCTGGAGGGTGGGGACACTGCCTGGTACTTCTTTTTATAGCTCTCCAATACTCACTTTTAATGCTTTTATGCAGGGTAAGCACCCCGAGAATGCAGTTAAACAATGGAAATTCTCTTTTGAATTTGCAATGACTTGCTTCAAACTAGGGTGGGGCTCGTGGCTAGTGAGGTTAGAGAGACTAGAGGTTGGGTAATTATACTGGAGAAACAGATAGCCTAGCTTGGTTTTTAAGTCATTTAAAAAAACCCCACAGAAGTAAGGCTGGGGAATTAGCTCTCTAGGTAATGTGCTTGCTGAGCAAAGGTGACGAGCTGTGTTTGAATCCCCAGACCCTGAGTAACTGGGTGTGGTGGCACATGCCTGAAAACCCAGTGCTGGTGGTGGGGGTGGGAGACAGGCAGACCCTGTGTGCTCGCTGGCCAGTCAGTGTCATCAAAACAGCAAACTCCAGATTTACTGAAAGACTCTCACAACAAAGATGGGAGCGCTGTAGGGGACGGAATCTGGTGTCAACTCTGGCTTCCCTCTGGAATTTTACATCCAGTGGTCACGACTCCCAGTATGTTGGTAGATGTTGGTGCACATCATTGCTGTCCCTTGCCAACTTCTATGCACAAATACACAGTTTTAGAGCTGCTTTCAACTTAGTTCAACCTTGTTTTATTGTGGTAGAAAACATACGTGTTTCCTACCGCATATGTGTTTTCTATCATTTTCTTTCAGTGTCTAGCTCAACAGTGTTGAGCATTCATAGTATTCTGGACAGATCTCCATTACCGTCTCTTCTTGGGAATTTGAAAATCTATATTTATCTGATCTACATAGGAAGTAGAAAAAGACAAGATCTCCTAAGTAAACTGGTAGTGTGGAGATTATGGAAGAAGGCAGAAGTGGAGGGGAGAAGAAAGGAGGGGAGCAGAGAAAAATATATAGCTCAATAAAAACAATAAAAAAAGATAAAATAGAAAATCTATACTTATTCATTTTGTTTTCAGCTCAACAATAAATCAGATTTTTCAATAATATCAAGTGTTTCACAATATTATTAACATTTAAATGGTATATATAAAATTTTTCTAGCACCATAATAAAGACTAGACCAGGCCTAGTGGTGCACGCCTTTAATCCTAGCACTCAGGAGACAGAGGCAGGTGGATCTCTGTGAGTCTGAGTCCAGCCTGGTCTGCACAGTGAGATCCTGTCTGCGCCCCCCTCCCTCTACCAAAGTGAGTCCTTACTGTTGATTATTTAGATTATTTCTGCATTTCACTATTACATATAATGCTATGGTGAACATTTCATTTCAAATGTTTTGGACCAGCAACTTTTCATGTTGACTTAAATATTTCCTTATAGTCAGCTCTCAGATGTGGAACTGTTGATGGGAAGCAGTGCACACTTTAAGTATTTTTTTAAAATATGGGTGAACTTGCATTTTGATGAGAGAAATTTGATCACTTGACACTCCCAAAAAGAGAATAAAAAAGACCAGTTTCTCCATATTCACCAGAACTGGGTGTCATTGTACAGACTTTTTCTTTCGAGGTTCCAAGTGAGTTCTAAGCCTCATATTAAATAGGAATTGCTCTCAGGCATCACTGGGGCACACAGACTCTCCTGAGCAAGCTTGACTCAATGTAGACAGGAGTCTCACATACCTCTACGAACAAGATGGGGAAGATGCCCACTTTATCTCCCAGCTTCCCTTCCGCCCAGTTCTCATCCACTCGGCTGATCACTGTGATGATGTCATCCTGAAAGAGAAGGCCTCATGTCAGCTCTGTCCTCCACGTTCAGGGGATGGGATCTTCCCATGGAGACAAGTTTATACCGGGGAACAAAGGGTGAAGCTCTTGAGTAGGTTGTGTGGGAAATATTTCTGTCATCTTAAAAGGTAGTGTTCGGGCACCAAGATGTTCAAGATGAAAGGAAGTTTTTGGCAGATGAGTGGAACCCAGTAAGAAAATTCAGAATACTCCAAGGGGAATCTGTGGTTTTCCTTTAAACTATCCTGATGGAGAAGCCAAAAGGGAAGCCATAGGGGATTCAGCTCTAGCTTGGTAAAGGGGAATAACTTTCGTTCCCATTTTGAAGACTTTTAGGACTGACTCCATCTTAATATGTTAAAAATAAAGCGGTTTTCATTCAAAATTTTCTTGCTACAAAAGATTACATGTAAAGTTGGAGAAAATTAAAAATATTGATAAGAAAAACAAGTGGATCCTGTCTGCCACAGCACAACCACCGCTAATAGCTTGCTTCACATTTTTAGATGCTTTTGTAGTAAGATAAAAGATATATGCATATAAATGTTGATCTCAGTTCTTTTCAAGGATACACATATGCCTTCCATAAAGTGCATAAATTTTGGAAATGAGCTGGAACCATCAACTATAGCCATGAACCCTCATCCATACCAAGGTATGAAACCTAACACCTTCTTTGTGCCCTTTCCCACACTCCAGCCTCATGACCTCTGGTACCGCCCACTCCTTTTGTCTACTCTCCTACTTCATACAAATGATGTCATATTCAATACCTTAAGAAGAACACTTTTGTTGCAAATCTCTCTCTCTCTCTCTGATACATGTGTGTGACATGTACCATGGTATGTGCGTGCAAGTCAGAGGGCAGCTTCTGGGAGTTGGGTCTCTCCTTGAACCCCGTGGTCTGGGACTGTACTCAGGTCATCAGGTTTGGCAGCAAGTGCCTATGTCTACTGTGCCATCTCCTTAGCCACCACAGCCTCTTCTTTGTGCTTTTGAGAGAGACTTGCTATGGCCCCCACACTGACTTCATTGATCTTCTTATTTATCTGCCTTAATCTCTCAAATGTTGAGATTACAGACATGCCACAGTATTTGGCAAAGGGAAGATCTCGGGTTGAATTTGGACATGGGGTTTAGGATGACCCTAGATTTTTCTAGAGAAGTCTCAGCGTTCCACAGTGACAGAATGGACAAAACCCTCTGCTCTGGTGTCTTCGTCACACTTCCCCACTGATGAATATGTGTTTACTACTAGACTCCCAGTAAAGCAGAAGGAAGGGCATTGCTCCATCACTTTGTTCCCAGAGACCTGTCAGATGGGGGAAGGGGCTGGACTGATGACTCAGTAGTTAAGAGCACTTGCTCTTGCAGAGGACCCAGGTTCGATTCCCAGCACCCACACAGTGACTAGCAACCATGTGTGACTCCAGTTCCAGAGATGCAATGCTCTTTTCTGTTTCCACACGTGCCAGGTATACACATGGTATAATACACACATGTGGGCAGAACTCACATACATAGCATGAAAATAGATTAAAATATATTTAAAAGAAATCATTAAATGAATGGGTTTATGGGTTTTTATTGAGGAATTATAACAGTACCACTTCATGGACTTACATGTTAACTTGTCATAGCAGCAACTAATAAGGAAACCCCAGCTTAGATTTCTATGAGGGGATTTGGACATCTATGGTACAACAACTTCTGAAAACTCCGTTGAAGCTCCAGTTAATACTTTATTTTATAAGTGTTATTATAGCCATATGTCACTTCACAGCAGTAAACCATTGACCAATACATAGTCCATGTAGTTGAAATTATACACACACTTTGCTTACATATGTGCATGAGTGTGCACACATACAGATACACATGTTCACTCATGTGTAGTGTGTATATTCTTTAAAAAATCAGCAGACAAAGCTACAGTACTGAAAATGGCCTGATATTGGCATAAGAACAGACAGGAGGACCAATTGAACAGAATAGAAGACCTGGATATTAATCCACACTCCTATGAACACCTGATTTTTGACAAAGGTGCAAAAAAAATCAAATCGAAAAAAGCATATTTAACAAATAGTGCTGGCATAACTGGATATCAACATGTAGAAGAATGAAAATAGACCTATATCTATAACCATGCAAAAAACTCAAGTCCCAAATAGATCAAAGACCTCAACCTAAAGCCAGCCACAATGAACCTTATAGAAGAGAAAGTGGGAAGTACACTTGAACGCATTGGTACAGGAGACCACTTACTAAATATAATCCCAGCAGCACAGACACTGAGAGAAACAATTAATAAACGGGACCTTCTGAAACTGAAAAGCTTTTGTAAAGCAAAGGATACGGTCAACAAGACAAAACGACAGCCTACAGAATGGGAAAAGATCTTTGCTAACTCCACATCAGACAGAGGTCTGATCACCAAAATATACAAAGAACTCAAGAAATTGGACACCAAAAGATCACATAATCCAATAAAAAAATGGAGTACAGACCTAAACAGAGAACTTTCAATGGAGGAATCTAAAATGTCTGAAAGACACTTAAGAAAATGTTCAACATCCTTAGTCATCAGAGAATGCAAATCAAAACAACTCTGAGATTCCATCTTACACCTATAAGAATGGCTAAGATAAAAAACACTGATGACAACTTATGCTGGAGAGGTTGTGGGGTAAAGGGAACACTTCTGCATTGCTGGTGAGAATGCAAACTGGTACAACCCCTCTGGATGTCAGTGTGGCAATTTCTCAAAAAATTAGGAAACAATCTTTCTCAAGACCCAGTAATACCAATTTTGGGTATATATCCCAAAGGATACTCAATTGTGCCACAAGGACATGTGCTCAGCTATGCTCATATCAGCATTGTTTGTCATAGTCAGAACCTGGAAACAACCTACATGCCCCTCGACCGAAGAATGGATAAGGAAAAAGTGGTACATTTACACAATGGAGTACTACACAGTAGAAAAAAATTACAACATCTTGAATTTTACAGGTAAATGGATGGAGCTAGAAATCACCATTTTGAGTGAGTTAACCCAGACACAGAAAGACAATTATCATATGTACTAACTCATAAGTGGTTTTAAAACATAAAGCCAAGATAACCATCCCTCAAATCACAATCCCAGAGAACTTAGAAAACAATGAGGACACTAAGAGAGGCTTACATAGATCTAATCTACATGGGAAGTAGAAAAAGACAAGATTTCCTGAGTAAATTGTGAGCATGGAGACCTTGGGAGAGGGTTGAAGGGGAGGGGAAAGGTAGGAAGGGGAGCAGAGAAAAATGTAGAGCTCAATAAAAATCAATACAAAAAAAATCGTCAGTGTTAAATAGTGGACTGTGGCTTCTCCATAGTCTCTGTGTGGTCTGTGATTACCTTGAGGAAGGTCAGGCAGTCCTGGTTCTCACTCTTATCCTTGTCTCGAATTTCAAAGTTGTAGAGGGCCCTGCAGAGTGGTGGTGGCTGGGGCAGCTGCTTGATGACCTCCACGGAGCTGGCTGGGAAGATCCCACTGACCCCATTGATTTCCCCCTGGTACCAGTTCTCATCAAGCTGTCTCCGGAGGAGAATGACATCTCCTTTATTAAACTTCAGGTCACCTGGATTCTTCCCTCTGTAGTTGCACAAGGCCTTGGCTCGCGGCACCTGCAAGTGGCAAAGACCAGAAAATAGGAAGTGAGCTTAGGGCTGAAGGGATGGGAGGTCTCATAGCAACGACTAGTGATGGTTGTGTGTAGACCATCTAGCTCATTTAGCCTAAGTAGCTGTCTTGTTTTCTTTTCCCAGCCTGTGATGAGGTGCTGTGGCAGAAACAATTTAAGAGGAAAGAGTTTGGCTCACAGTTCAAGGGACTCACCGTAATGGGATAGGCATGGCAGCAGTCTCAAATTAAGAAAATGTCCTTCAGGCTTGTCTAACACCCTGATCTTATGGAGGCATTTTCTCAATCGAGGTTCCCTCCTCTCACATGACTTTAGTTTATATTAAGTTGATATAAAACCAGTCAGTACAGTGAGTTAGTAATTCTCTCTGTGTCCATCCTGATTTTGCCTGGTTGTACTTCTCTCTACTTATGTAATTAGGGTTGTTTAATATTTTTTTTTTTGGACTACGTTCATGTATATAACAGAGTGTCAGTAGAATGTCTACCTCATTAGGGCTTTTGTGAGCAATAAAGGATATCCATAATGCATTTAACATCTTGCCTGGAATATACCATGTGCTCAGTGAATGGCTTCCTTTATTAGCATCCTGTATAATGGGGAACTAATGACACCAGTTCTGCATCCTCCTCAGCACTGATGGGAAGAAAATGGAAGTGGAAGCCACCTGCAAATAGGAAGTGGTTTGTGAGAGGGCTGAGGCATAATTTGTCTCCAGTCTTCTTCAGAAACTCTAGATCTCGTGAACGTTTGGATCATTAGGAAACTCAACAGAGACAAGGAAACAAATTAGTCAGGAATCAATCATAGCTTTTGAAAAAAATAAATCAGCAGTGAATCATCATTTGTCAAATCAGTTGTCTGTCTAAATAATTCAGTCAAATGTTCTTCTCCCCCCTCTCCCCCCCAATTGGGACTGGTTTCTCCACACGGGAATGACCTTGATGTGGTCTTATTGGAGGTTGACTTGGTACCCTGAAAGTTCTCACAGCTCAGGTTCCAACAAAAGCCTCTCTCTCACCTGAGATATTTGTGTGTGCCTTTCTAGGCAGTGGGATGAAACAGTTCCCATGCACTGGGATAGCTTGCTCTTCTGAGGAGAGTAGGATGGCTTTAATTCAGGTCTCCCGGGATTTTCTGGGTCTACAATGCTCATTTGAAAATGGAATTCCAAGTAGAGTGTAGAGAAGAGACCTTGCATCCCTTTGGCGATGGGGTAATGGAGCTACAGATATTGTAAGGGGAACCTGGGCTTAGAGAATTACAAGGACAAAGCTCACTGTGGGAAGGAGATTGGAGGGTTATTGAACAAGGTGTAGAAGTGGTTGAATAAGGCGTAAGAACACATTCATATGGTAAGAACTCTGTTGTCAATATAGTTAATAATGTTGATTCATAACCTTTAGCATGAAGTATCTCTCTCAATGTGCTGTTCAGTGTAATAGAAGTCAAGGAGAGTCGCACAGAGTAGGTTTCCACTGCATATCAATTTATCTGCTTAGGGAAATACTAGATGTCTGTGCTTCAGAACACTAAGATTATTTTTAAAGCCAATGTTTTTGGTATTGAAATTTCTCCAAAGTGTTGAGTTTAGGTTTTTAACTTTTAAAACAAAATGATTGTGTTGCCTTTAGAATTAGACAAAACTGGGAGCAGGGGAGGGTGGGGTAGAGCTTACAGGTAAGGTATGGAGCTATGGGAGGAAACTGGGAAGAGAATGAGCCAAACTGAGCAGGACAGGTAATAGCAATTGCGACCTGCCTTGAAGAAGATGACTTTTGGGAAACCAGCATGTAGAGGGACATGAGCAGGGGATCCCGAGGAAAGGCTAAATCTGTGAGACACCAGCGATCAATACCTCTCCTACCAAATTCCTTCTCTCCAATCATCACATAATTGGCATCATAACACAAGCCACAGTTTTCTGGGCACATACTACATGGAGTACTGGCTGGCCATACTGTTCGGTCTTCCTGGCAGCTGTGTGGGATGAAGCAGCAGCTCTGACTGCCATCTTGAACAATGAGGATGAAGGCGGCTTCTAAGCTACTGCCCTGGACTACTCCCTTTCAGACTTCTGTTTGAAAGCCTCATAAACTTTTATCTTAACACATTTTCTTCTATATTTATAAAAAGAAAAGAATGAAATGATAAAAAATCCAAGTCCTTTACACAATCATGGTAATGTATATGTAATAGTATTATTTTCATACATACCAGAGACCATTACTTCATAATGTATTTATTTAATTCTTACAGCAACCTTTGAAGTATATATAAATTCAAATTTCAAAACTTAAAATCAGAAAAGTTAAAAGTTGCCCAAATCCACAGAGCGAGGTCTAGCAGATCAGGTTCTGAACACAGAACTCTCTTAAGCATGAAGCTCATGCTTCTCAAAATCAAATCTGTGGTTTACCTGTGCCAGAATCCTGCAGGATGCTGAAAACACACACACCAGCCCCCAGCCGTGACTTATTTGCCCAGTCTTCCTTGGAGTAGGATTTCTTTTTGGAGTTGCGTTTTAATTTTAATGAATCTTTTCTACCATCTAGGTTGGACGCTACTCATTTGAGCTACATCTTTTTCTAAATCAAATGGGGGCAACGGAGATTTGATATAAGCTTGTAAATTACTAACCTACTTTCTTCTTTTCCTTCCGGGAAGATATTTCTAGTGCAAGTGCCATACGTATTTTAATGAGTACCGAGAGAGTGCATTAAAGTAAAGTTGCATAAAAGTGCTTCAATTCCTTTGAAGTTGCCTAAACTTTGAAACTCCATGTTGGTACTAATTGTCCGTCTTCATCTTCATCATTTCTTTTCTCCATTCCTCTTCAACAGGAGGCAGTGTTGTGAACATGGACTACAGATTCTATATTCAGCACAAGGCTTTCCGTCTTAGATCTTCCTCCTGGTTAAGATGTCCCCTATTTATTCTTGGTACTCCCATTATAGTGACAGAAAACATTGTCTTCCATGTGCAGCTAGGGAGGGGGGAGGCAGGAGGGGACAGCGAGGGAGAGAGAGGAGGAGAGAAAGAGGATGACCCTGAAGGGAAGGAAATGGAGATTTCTCAGGGTTCTATCAGGCCACTGAAGTTTCCCTTATGTATTGTACTATTGAATTTTTCACCTGCTCATCTCAGTCACGTGGTCTCACAACCCTGCGAAGTGGCATCACCCTATTTCATGGACTGGAAAATTCTGATATGGTAAATGTCACCAGACAAGGCCCAAGAAAGACTGGCTCACCTGACCCCAAAGCCCTGGTGCCGCCGCCACACTCCTCCCATTCCAGCTAGAGGAACCAGAGTGTTTTCTCATCGGGAAAAGTCACCGGGACTGTTTAGTAATCAAAATCCGAATGAAGTGTGAATGCAATTGCCTTGATGCTGGCTGCATTAGCATGAATTATTGAACTCCAGAGCCCTCACATAAAAGCTAAGCACCTGAGGAGTCTCAGATGGTTGATTCTATCCGGTCCTCAACTGTTCCCTCCAGGGAAAATGACTCCAAGTTCTGCATCAGCTATTACCCGTTGTGCACTTGGCACCAGCTTTTATCACTCATAATATTTCTTTGTTTCTGCAGGTGCAGGGGTGGGGGTGGGATGGGGAATGGATTCAAAGACTCAAAGGTCATTATCCAACTTTGTCGTGGTGTTTGACGCAAGAGTAGATAATCCGTCTTGTAATGGAAGCTCATATGTGCCCCCAAAACATTCCTTTCTTTGAGATTCAGAATTGTTCCTGAGACCTGTTAGTTCTTTTTTTTTTTTTTTTTTTTTTTTTTTTTTTTTTTTTTAAGTTGGCCATGATTTAGGTGGCTGGACAATACACAAAGCTCAGAAATAAACAGTGTGTGCAGAGTTACTAGAAACACAATTGGGCTGTCCCATTGTGGAGCAGTCCCTGGTCTGAGGAACTTTCTGCTTTGTTTTCATCTTCTGGCAGACACAACAACATTCAGTCTGTAACACCCGATTTTGTGTTACACCCTCGGTACAGTTCGCGCGCCTCTGTACCATAGGCGAGTCAGAACACACAGAGAGACAAGGGTCATTCGAAAGGAGACTAGCTGAATGCCAGTTTATTCAGACTTGGGGAAATCCTTCTGTACCTAACTGCTGCACAAGGATCTCCGCCCAGGCAGGTGGGAAATTACCATATTAACAAAGGAGTAAATGCCCTGCAGCTAATCACCAGGCGGGGCAGGGAGAGCACAGAAACACACAGGAAGCTTAGTTAGCTGATCATAAACTGTCCCACCAAATGTACCCCAGGAACAGGGGCAGACCAGGGCCCTACACAGTCTGGTTATGGCTCACATTGGGTCAGGGGCTCTTGCCAGCCAGTCAGAGAATAGATTGAGTTACTCCTCCAAAATGAATGGTAAGGGGGGGGGGCAGGCACAGGCACCATTTAGGGCCAACTAGTATTTTTCTTGAGAATTGATGTTTAAATGGAGAAAGACTAATTTTTACTTTGGGATCACAAACCTTATTCTCGTAGCCCTTTGACTTTCAGACCTGGTATTACATGCAAATTGTGGTGTTATTTCCTAACCGGTAGACACAGCTCCCTGAAAGAAGCCACAGGCAGCACCTGAACCAGAGATTAAGTGAAACAGACAGTAGCTGGTCTATTTCCCATTCAATAGCTGGAAGTAACTCAGAGAATTATAAGCAATTGTAGAAAATACTATAAAGAAAACAAATTATTTGGCTTGTGTTTCTTAAACTTCAAGAGCACAGTGTTGGTTTCTACTTGGCATCTGGTGAGGGACTCAGGGCTGGATAATGACATGCAGAAGGCATGACATGGAGAGGGAGAGAGAGAGAGAGAGAGAGAGAGAGAGAGAGCGCTCTCTTATCGCTCTCTCCCTCTCGTTGGTTCCAGTCTACATTATGTCACCATCCCCCTACTCATTAAGACCTCATTTTCTCTTCTCATAGCCCCCTTCTTGCCTTATGACCTATCTCC